TTAGGCTCTACTGTTTTTGAGGGGCACCGGACATATCAATAAGGGAAAGAGTATGGAACTGAAGAGAACTGAGTTATTTCCGTGTTCTTGGTTTTTATTAGAAACAGCTGTTCCACAAACCTCTGTTTAGATCTTCATACAAGTGATTTATTTTCTTTGTAGTTTATTTCTCCATTTTAGAATAGAAGGACTTTCTTTGTATATTTTATATTTGGACTGTATTAACTGCTACAGTGTGCAGATAGCATAAGACAACTTCAAAATGATTCCCAGGATAGTGGTCTAACAAGTTGCTTGAGTCTCTAGATGCTATCGTATAAATGATAGGAATGCTAATTCTGCCCTGTGCTTTTTAATTTCAGCTTAACATTATCTTAGTGAGTGCTCCACCTTAAAGAGCACTGATCTCCACGGATATGCTGAGCATCATTTGCAAGAGCTGAGGGCGCTTGGCACTTCCCAGGATAAACACAGTACCTTCTACTGTCAAGCACAGTCTCTACAAGGTAAGTTGAGATGTGTGGAAGAGATAGAAGCTTATCTGTAAGGAATCCATTCATTTGTTCACAATCACAGAGGTGTTTCCCAGACTACAACAGATGAGGCATTGTTTAAGGGCCATCTAAAATCTGGTCTTGATTGAACATGGTCCATCATAGCAAAAGAAAAATAATTTTGCTTATTTCTACTAGTTCAGAGCTGTTAATAGAAAAAAAATTGGCTACTTCTGCAGTTCAGCTGAATACTACACTACCCAGACGTAAGTAAGAGGATGAACCCTAACACAACTCAGTCTCATCAGAGCAGCAGCACACACAAACTATACTCCACAGTCACCAAATGGATGGGAATGCTGCCAGCTCTAAGATTTCTCTGTCACCTTTTGGAGTTAAAAATCAAAGCGCAGGAATAAACTGAGACAGGAACTTTCCAGCCATGTTCTCTATACTTGCATAGCATGTGAAACACTTAAAAAGTTCTGTGTGCGTGCATGTACGTACATATCTATATTTAGCCATCTTGTAAAACTGAAGTGGGACACTACCAATTTAAATTCCAGAGTTTGCGGCCATAGGCATCCTGTCTGTTCTCCTTTACATAGCTGCAAATCTTGTGTAATACTCAACTGTCAGCAGGGTTTACTGTGGGTAATACCGGTTTCACAATGTTGATACCTGACCCAACACAGAATCATGCTATCACCCAGTACCACAAAACCACTAAGCATGTTGGACAGAGAGCAATTAAGATTTCAAAGGTGCTTGGGTGTAATCAGGGCATAACCTTTCTACTATTTCAAAATCTCATCTTTCTAGCTGCTCTGATACTACTAAAGGCCAGAACTCTACTGCTTGCCTTTGTGGCACTTGCAATTCAAGGTGATGGTAGTAAAGTTGGAAATTCTCATCCCTTTCCTCTAAGATAACAGGCTGTGCAGCTCAGTCCAACTCTCTCTCTCCCATTCCCACACTTGCACACCAACCATACAGAGGATCTCTGCTCTGCTCCTCCTCTCTTACTAGGCAGGATAACAACCAGATAAGGAGCGTGTGGGGCAGCTTCCAGCCCTCTCACTGTTCCAATGCCATCCAAATACCACTGCCCAGTTTTGCAGGCAGCTAGGCTTGCCCATACTTGGTTGAACAGAATGAGGCAGAGACCTAGTTTCACGAACATCATGAACATATCAACACCTAATAACTTTAGCACTCTGTAACACCTCACATCCATTACAATGATGAAAACTTGGCTGCTCTTGAGGCATAATGTTTGGTTCCAATTATATCAATTGCTACTGAAATACAAAGACTAGTTCATGTGAAATTAAATGCCAGGAATACTTTGAGTTATTCATAAAGGTCTGATAATAATATTGACTGTATTGTCATTGAAGCAGTTATCATAAGTAAGCTTTGGCAATACTTTATTTCTACCACATATCTATTGGCTATTGGAGTAGGATGGAGGATGCTTAGAGTGTTAACTGCTACTTTACTAGGGCTATCCATGCACTTAATATAGAATACAGTGGCAGAGGAAAATGGACATGTAAAGGCTGCATCAGCAACCTCTATTCCAGTGTTCTGATCTATACAGCTTTAGCTGTAACTATTCCTAAAATGGAACACTTCACAAATAAGAGCAGCAAATACAGACAGTAAAAGTACCATGTTCTATTAGGACGAAAGCAGGAACTGACCCCAAGAAAAATATTATAGTGCACCTGCATTTTACAAAAAAGAAAACAAAACAACGCAGAAAAAAACAGGATACTGTGTTGGAATACAATCTACGGGAAACAGCAAACACTGCAACATTTTCTTCATTAAATTTTGGTAATTCCAAATATGAAATTCTCACTCACTGAGCTGGACTGTGAACTACCATAGCTGCAAGGTACCAACACTGCAGAAGTGCATTGCAACTATAAAAACTGAATTAGTACTACATGACTTATTATACTCATAAGTTACTAACAAGACAATACTTCAAGCTATCTATTGACCAGCTGCTGACAAGTTATGACTTACCAAACAAAAATTCTAGGTCTTTCACCTCCCAGATTTTCTAGAACTCTTAAACTTCTGCACACAACTTATCTCTGTGATGAACCTCTCCAAAAGCCCGAACAAGCATTCATATCCTCTTCTGGTTCCTCTGACTGCTGGATTAGAAACTTTTGGAGCTAAGATTCTCTTCTGTAACTTTGTAGTGGCATTTTTTACTAAAAGTGCATCTGAAAAATAAATCTTAAATGTAAAAATGTTTTACAAACGTCAAACTTAAGAAAAATAAGGCCTAGCCCTAATCTGATGTTGTAGAATTGCATTGCTTGCATGTATTATAAAACACATAACCAACTCAACAGTCTCCTATCCTAAAAACTAGCTACTTCACATTAACCAAGCACAAGCAAGGCAAATAGTGATCTACTACTGAGAACAGCTCTAAGTCAAGATGAGGATGTCCAAGTCCAAGGTATGGTGAAACTGAAATATTTATATGAGATTCCTTCCAGATTCATTTTACATGTCCTATATCATCTCTATGCTTCTAAGGGATTATAAATCACCATATCTGCACCCCACACGGTCACCAAATGTTTAACTGAGAAATAAAGAGGTCAGCAGGAGGTAGATTCTTAGGTTCAGTGCTAGACTTTATCTCAGTGATCCCCTTCAAAAATGTACAGCATTTCTACAATTCATGTTGTAAATAAATTAAACAACCTTTTTTTCTAAAGTTGTCAAAAGTTACCTTTAAATGGAGTTCCAATGTTTTCTGTAGGTCACATACTTTCAAATTCAAGAAAGGAAAAATCCCATTTTGCCTAGTAAGACTACTCCAGATATGCACAGATGGATTGAAATTATTTCATGGTGTAACTGATAAAGAAAGTTAATCACTAGATAGAAATTGGTTGGAAAATAGATTTAAATGGCAGAGCAATATAACTTGCCTTATTTGGCTGCCACTGGCAATGCAACAACAGTAGCACTCTTGAGATGCAGAAGAAATGTTTATAGCAGGGAAAACAACACAGAAGCAGACATGCTGAGGTCTCTTTATCTGATAACTTTGTGGTAATTGCCTTTCATGCCCTGTGGCAAGTAGGATGCACTAATTTGGCATTCAGTGAGTACAGCACAGAAGCATAATGCAAACAAAGAAGCATCTAACTCCACACTATTGCTTTGCCTTACTAAATTACCAAGGCACAACAGCATTTGCAACATCAAAAAAAGAGTGAAGTAGAGATTTCTATGGGCCAACATCATCCTCTTCCTCAAGTTCAGTTTCACTGACATCTGAGTAACCTGACTAGATTTCAATAGTTCTTTTTGGCTGGCTTTGCCATGAGGTCTGGTGCTATCTACTGGCTGAGCTTTCATCCTTAGTCTGCATCCCAACAGAGCAGTTATAGACATTCCTTCCTTTTGTCCAACTGCCTGCTCGCATCAGCCAGCTTGAAGGTAGGAAGTCTTCAAACATCTGTTTCTACCAACGTCAACAAGAATTTTGCCTCTGATTTTACTGAGTTTATAACTTGTCCATTTACTGCTTCTTTCTTCCTTTTCATTCACCACTGCACAGAAGCAAAGTTACCAGTATTGCTGTGTACAGCTCAGTTCCCAGACACCTTTTTCTGTCAAATAGGTTTATTTTTAAACATTCTTAATTTACATTTTAGAGATTTCTTCTGTATTTTTTTAAACTGGCAGTGTCTCACCTCTTAAAAACCACATACAGCTGTGCACTCCCTCTTTCTCATAACAGCTGACCCAAAGACAGCAAACCTTTATTACTAACTGCAGGGAAGAATGCACAACACTACTTTCTTCCTGACAGCTGCAGCTCCTCCACATCTGCTTTACAGTCACTCGCTCAGCATCCAGATTCATCACTTCACACAGCTTAATTGTGTGGGAAGAGTACCAAGGACAATAACAATGAAAGAAGAATAGACTAAGGTACACATATAGGTATACACACATATACAAAAGTGGCATAATTTTCACCACATAATAATCTTTGCTAATTCTTATTTCCTGTTTCAGGAAATAGATTTCAGGTCACACCCCTGGTCCCTTTATGATAAATCTTTTCAGTGTAACATTTTTCACACACAGTGGTCTCCACAAAAACTAGCTGGCAGATGCCAGAGGAAGATTATGTATTAACAACACATTGAGGCAGTAAATAGCAAAAAATTGATCCTTCACATCGTTATACATTTATTTGTGGATACCCGGGATTCACTCCTGTGGAAGGTAAATTCAGCTCTCACTTCCTTCAGCACAAGCCGTCCACATTTCTGCTAGGCATGAGTTAAGTACAGACTTTAGTGGTTACTGTTACAGCAAACTGAGTTAAGGTGCAATAAATGCAAAGAGAAATGGATGGAGGGGGACAAAGATGGAGTCCAAGGTCTAAATGCCAGGTTTGCATGTATGCCAGCTGCTCTGCAGCACAGGAGAGAGAGGCAAACAAATACGTACCAGGTTTAATTTCCAGCAGCTTCAGCCTGGAATCCTCGGGAGGATGCAAACGCCTCTTTTTGCGCCAGCAACGTGCCGGGTATGTGTACAGCTGACCTGGGGCCAGGCCTGAAAATTAAAGGCAAGAAATAAAACAATCATATTTCGGTCTGTAAACCACAAAGCACTGTCTCTAGCATCTTTTCCCTTGTCCTTTCAGCATCTCTTGTCAGAGGATTCAATCTTGCAAACTGTGAGGCAGAACTATGCACGCAAGGCATCCAGCACTCCGGAGGCTCCTTGGCACCTCTGGGGATCAGGCCTACAGAGAATCTAGGTCTCACTCATACACTTCACTCAGCTCACTGAAACCAGAGCTGCACATAAATAATTTGTGACTCCTTCAGGGTAAATAGAATTTCAGCCTCTCTTGGGTCACAGGGCGATGTCTCCTCCACAGGCAGAGAAAGTGCCTTGGGAGAGAAGAGATGAAGTTCCAACACACAAATCGTAAGGCCCCGATATGCAGACCAGCTCCGAAAACATGTCTTCTAAATGGAAGCAAACAAAAAATCCATGAGGTCTGGCTATTGGGACTTTATATTTTTGCTTGAATTCTGGACTTTTGTTTAAAAAGAGATCCTTTATTCTGGTTATTACCTTCCTCATGCCCACATCCTGAATGAGGGAGGAAATACAGCAGTAATGTTTATATTACTGCATGCTCCATTGATTCACATTTGGTGTTGCTGGCCTCTGAGCTGCCCTGGCTCTCATGATAGGCATCCCTTAGCCAATGCTCAAGCTATGCTTTGTTCTCTTGTATTCAGGACACAGCAGGGCCCTCTGAATGCACTGCTACTAAGAACACAGAAGCACACTGCCAAGTTACTGCCCCAGTTACTCTCGATACCCAAGAAGATCCAGAAATGCTGGAAGAATGTTGTTCTCACCCCTGCTTCCCTTGACCTCTCTGCCTGCCACTTCTGCTTTTATTCTTCTGCCTTCTGCTGTTAGTCTTGAAGGGGCTACAGAGCACAACTGAAGTTCCAACCCCACTGCCCTCAGAAAACAAATAAGACCACATAAGGGAGAGGACAGCAGTAATGTTACCATATCTGAAATAGTACCACCAGTAAACAGCTGGACATCATTAAGGCAGCATGAGTAAAGCAAAACAGCTCAAGAACAGCAGGATGGCTTGCTCTCTGCCATTCTCTCTGAAACAGCCCAGAGAGCATATCAGCTCAGGAACAAAGCTGATTCATTAAGCCAGATGCAGATAACACAAAAAAAAGACAATATACTGTCACTAGGAAAAAAAAAAAAAAAAAATAAGAGACACACACACACCAAATTTATTCACCTATACACCTTAAGGGAATGGGCTAATCATGTTCTGCAAGCTCTTGGCTTGAAATAGTTGAGCCGTTGGAGATGCCAGTTCAGACTTCAGTGATTTCCACCTGCTTCCTGGCCTTGGTGCATAAATGAAGCATCTACACCATACTGCCTAGGCTTGGCCAAATGATAGAATGTTCACATAGGTCCTGGCTGCCCAAGGTCACAGTGCAGGTGTAGGGCTTTGCACACCCTCTTTTGTCACTGCACAGATTCCTAGGCATTATGCCCAACACAAGAAGGCTGCATTTTGGTGAGCAGCATGTGTGACTGTTTTGAGAATAAAATGTGAATAACCAGTACTTCTGCAGTGCTTGACACGCTTCTACATGGCATTTTGCAAACATTAACCACTGCAAACAATTGCTATTATGGTGGGGTGGATTGTGCCTGCTCTGATGTGAGTCATTAAAGAGGTGGAGGCAAGATGCCTCACCCTTTCACAGTAGGTTTTGTTCAAAAAATTCACTCACAGCATTGAAAAGCGGGGTTGTTAGGCTAAGGAAATAGGACAGAGAATCAGCCTTCCATTGCACAGACCACCAGAGAGGAGCGATTTCAATGAAGTGGGCACCACTACTTTGAACATTTATCCCAGACAGAGGAAAGCAAGGATCCACTGTAGTTTTGAGGTAATATCCGTTAATGTGGGTTCAAGTATTGTGAACTCACATATGAATTGGCAATTCTGGATTCAGCCAAGACAGTGAATGCCAACTGCAAATGCTGAAAGGCCAATGAGAAACACAGCAGGTATCGTTGAATAGATGAAAGTGGAGAATTCTCTTCCCCCAGGGAAATGCAGCCCACTCCAGGTGGCAGATAGGCTCCTAAGTTCCTCCAACACCAATATCCACAGTTGTGGAGCTTTTTTTCCCCCCATTTGCCTTTAGACAGTATTTCAGGTCAGGGATACTAAATGAGAGGGAATCCAGCACACAAGACAGATACCAAGAAGGCTGGCAGAGAATTTCTGGAGATATCCAGGTCTCTCTATTCCTATTTGCAATATCCTTGCTCATTAACGCACAGCCATCCAGTAAAATAAGACAGATATCAAGCTTTATCTTGATTCAAACTGATCAGATATTATCTTCAGTCCTCTGCCCTGCAACCTATCTGTCTCCATACTGCCTCATGTGAAGCATGGACCATCGACTGTTTACACAGAGGAGAAGCAATAAAAAAAGGGTCTGTTCTGAACAGAATCCAGCCCCTGCACAGCTGATCTTGCAGGGCATATAGAAATAACACTTATGCGTGTCTTACTGTCTTGTCTTCAGTCCTAGCTGAGCTGTCTCTCCCTCTGGGGCCTTATAGGGCAGCCAGAGAAGGTTCCAACCATTTGCTTATAGAGGAAATAGCAGAACCTGCAGTGAGTTATGTTGTTTATCTCATTAGTGTAGGAGAGCCATAACTCAAAGCTCCTGTGAAAGGCTGGGGGAGGAGGAGAGAAGAGGGAGGGAGTTATGTGCAGTATTGTGTGAAATTAACCCTGAACTGTTTATCATGAAATGCAGTTCTCTGACTCCCTTAACAAAGAGGACGGTGAGAAATCAGGTTAATACACTGAGATCCCCACTGTCCTCTGTTTTTCAAACTCTCTGTAAAAGAAAACAGTTCCTGGAGCTTTGCCATTTGTCTTTATACAGTTTTTCAGGTTACAGATAGTAAATGGCAGTGAACATAGCACACAGGATGGATACTACGGTGGCTGGCAAAGAATTTTTGGATATGTTCAATATGAGCATAAGTACAATGTGTATAGCCTGAAAACAGGGACACTAAAACTAAACAAGGATGCTTTGACCCACCATAACGACACTACAAGAAATAGATGATGCAAAGAGACCCAAGGGAGCACTAAATGGGCTAATAAAAATCAAGAAAGAGTAGAGCAAATATGGGGGAGGAGGGCTGCTTCATTTTACACTCATTATTCTAATTTAAAATAACAAAAGCATCAGATTTGGTGGCTGAAACAAATGCAGAAAGCCTGATTCACTTAAGACTCTCTATGAGGAATGTTCCACCATTAGTTCCCACTGGAGCCACTGACTCTTTTGCAGGGGAAGCCACAGGAAAGTTCGGTATCAGAAGTGAGCAAAAAGATTTGCACAGTGAATTTACCAAAGGTCGTCCAGAGGGCTAGTGACAGAGCTCTTGGCTCCTCGTGTGATGCTGTAACTCTTCTAGGATGATTTCCTCTGTAAGTGCAGAGACACCAATGAGACCTATACAATACTATGTTTGCTTATCTTTGTAGCAAGTGCTCTTGCCAAAACATCAATTGTGTATATAGTGGATGTATATGTGTTTATTACTGAGTTCACAAGGATTAAAAAGCAGCACCTTACTCATAACCTGATGTTACAAGAGCAGAAATTGCATAGGCAAAGTGATTAACCAAAAAGAAAAAAAAGAAAGGAGGAAAAAAAAAAAAAAAGCTATCTTTGCAAAAGCATAATCTCTTAGGAATTAGGAGATTTTAGATTAAAAAAAAATTTAAATGTGGTCATAAACCACATTTAGCAGTGTCAGATTACTGGAGTAGTTTTGGCAGCTGAAATATTCTTAGGATATATTTAAAGCTGGTAAAACACCTGCTGTCTCCTGCAACAGAAGTGGCTGCATTTTGCTACTGTTTTCTGTTGGTACTGCAAGACTGTAGTACACCTACTTTGAGTATTTTAGGAATAGGAGCAGAGAAAAGATCTGTCCCTCTGTCCTACATATGTCCCTTCCTTCCTAGGGAGCATTTCACATAAGCACCCTTCAGAGGCATCAGTTGCTTTCCTAGTCTGCTCACAGGAGGGGAGGCAAATATCCTTTGTGTTCTTCCTGCTACAGCTGCTGCAAGTTAGCCAGTGGAGGAGGCAACAGCAGCCTGCATCTACCCACAATTTCAGGTCTGGATTTTTTGTTTTCTTTTTTTTCCAGTATGGTTTACAGGAATTGACAAGGATATGTGCACATGGTCAGTGTCTTGTCTGTGCACACTTGACCCCTTCCTACCTGGATTCCAGTATGCACTGGGGAAAAAAAACAAAAAAAAACACAAATCCACTCCTGTATTGTCAGAAAATCCATGCCTGTACTAACTGTGGCTCAGATACTCAGCCATACTCTAGCAAAATTTTCACTGGGTTTCAGGAGGTCTGTTTAAGTAACATCAAGCCTTTGAACCAGTGACTGTCCTCTGCTTTCAAAACAAGGATTTCAGATGGATTTACTCTAACAAAGGAAACACTGACCAAAGCCTGCTAAAATAATGGTGGCCTTCCCTCCTTTGGAAAGAAACTTAGCCAAAGGTCTTTGAGGATGTAAATTTTTTTTCTGAGCTGAAAAAACTGAGACTCCAGAGCTGATATCCAAACTTGTCCAAAACAGAACTAGAAGTTTACCTACATCTCTAATCATCAGAACAAAGTTCATTCCACTTGCTGGACTCTCCTGTATTTCACTTCCACTATACGTACTTCCTAATACATCCCCTTATTTTCAGCATTCACCTGAGACTTCCACCTCTGCTTCTCCACTCTGAACATAATTTCAATCCTGCTTAGAGCAGGGCATTGTGCCTTCTACAGGCTGGGATCAATAGCATTAGAAGAGCTACAATGATACAGTCTTAGAAACTACCATGTCAGGCACTTCTTCGGGTAGAGAGAGAATAATTAGGATCAGCTCTCTGCAGTTACCAAAGGAAATCCCCTGCAGGCACAGAGGTTTAGGCAGCTTCTCTTCTGTGTGGCCTGTAGCAGGTTTGAGTTTCTATTAATTAAATCCCATGGGGGCTCAGTGGCCAGACCTCCAGACATGCGCACGCACACACACTGCTACCAACCTGGTCCCCTGTGCCGCTTCTCCATCCAGATGTAGCAGTTGTTCTGAGCAACTCCAGTCTGCGAGTCCAGGAAGGGAAGGCGAACGCTCCGTTCAGCACACAGCCGAGAGTTGTAGCTGCGACAGTGCTCAATTGCTTCTTTGTAGAACTGGTCCCCAAGTCTGCCAAAAGAGACAGGGCGGAGATTAGAAAAGGTGGCTCTTCCCCTCAAACAAGACTAGGGAAAAGGGGGCGTGTGGTTGGTTTGTTCAAATAGACAACAAGAAAAACTTCCCCCGAACATGTGAAAAGCTGGCTGACACCATACACTACCAAAGCGGATCATGCAGAAACTGTCATCAAAGGATGATACCCTTAGAAAACAGACGCAGATCTTTTCAGCAGGCACAGCTACTGAACGAGCAAATGGTGCAACCACACTGGCCCCCGACCCAGGGCCAGGCACCATGTACACAGCAGTGACCTCATTCTATTGTCTCTCTTCCCCTGCAGTTTGTCCAGCCAAGTTAGCACACCAGACATGTCAATTCTGTCCTATAGCAACTCCTGCAGTATTGTGAACAACCAAAAAGCCAGACAGGTTTAGAAGAACTTAAATCCATCATTTCTTACTTCAAAGAACCTGGAAGAGCAGAAGACACAGTCCTCTTATTGTGTGTTTCTGAAGCATGAAAACACACCCGTTAACAGCTAGAGCCATGTCTGCAATGCTTACACTAGATGTTTTTTCTCCACCATTCCAGAATTTTCCACAGTCGGGTTTAAGGCACCAACAGCAATAGGCTACAATAGCAGCTGGTAAGATCCCACATGGCAAATCCTTTGTTCTGAAGCCCAGTGGGAAGAACCAAGCTAAAGACAATGTCACTTGTTTCATAAATATTGGTTCAAAAATTCTGTAGAATCTTCATATTCCCTTGAGTAAGGTTTAAAAACTCTGCCTGCTGGAGATTACCAAAATCCTCCCTCCAAATTGTTCTAAACAGGGAAAAGCATCAAAGTAGAGCTACCCTAAGGACACAAAGCAGCTGTCATGCTGGAGCATTGCAAAGTAGGTGGGCCATGCTGCTGAACCTCATTCTTGATCTATTGTCAAGGTGAAATTCAGTCGTGACGTGAATAGCTAGGAAAGCTACCCATCAGGGGTAAGTTCATTAGAAAATAGGAGCAGAATGAGATATAGCTTAACTTGCTCTGACTCCAATATTAATTAGTGTGCAAAAAGAGTATAACACACAGCAAGGGAGCTGGAGGGATGCACACACAAAGATAAAAGAGGCTCCCTTTGCTGTTCTGTTGTTTATCCACTACTCCCCTTCCATAGGCCATTTTAAAAGTATACTCCTGCACACCTCTAAATGCCAAACTTGTGCAAATCACTATTTTGCTGTGTTTGACAGTCTGATACACATTTTTTGTCGCTTGTCATTTTCACCTCATGACTTTCATGGGAGCAATACTCTTTCCCCATGGGCTGTACCAGTGTAGTATCTTCTTGTTGACAGGGGCTGATATCAGAGACTTACTGAAGAACAAAAAGACAGAGGCAGGCATCTCTGGCTCCTCCTTCTCATTTCTGATAACCAGTTCCCAAGTGTCAAGTTACCCAGTCGTGAATAACGTTAAAAGATTTGATGAATCTTTCTTCTGTGAATGTATTCAATTGATTTCAACCCACCTTTATTTGTCACACCTAAACCATGGTGGGGCAATGAGTTCCAAAGCCGAAATACTACTTGTGGGAAAAAGAGCATTTTCTTGTGTTTTAAGCCATATCTCAATTATTCACAATTACAAGTCCAAAAGTCCTCCACAAAGCTTCCACCAGGTCACTTCTCTAATGGACGCAGGCAGACCAGCATGCCAAAGCTCTAGGTGTGGAACAAGCACCACGGACTGGCACGGAGCCCATCTTGCTGATGTCTGCCATGTCCATTCATGATGCAATGATTTCAGCTGCTGTATTTCAGAATATCCAGAAGGGAGAAAATAGGACAGTCCCCAACAAGCAAGAATCACACCCAAGAGCCAGTGCACCTTTTGGCTGCATAGATTTTCCGAAGGCTGTTAAGCTGTTCCATACAGCATGTCTGTTTGAATTTAGCATCTTGCAGCCCTGTCCCTGACCAGTGACCACCAGTCCCAGGCAGCAACTGGTGTACAGGGGCTGGAAAAGAGAGCTCTGAGCTGTACAAGAGGACTGAGCTGTGGGAAGGGGCAGTGCAAAGGGATGCCTCTGTGTGGTGAGGTTACAAGAACTGTGGCCCTCAGCTTTCGTCATAGGGCCACAGCTCTCATAACTTCACCACACCTCTGGCTGCAGAATCACCCACAATGACCTCAACCTCATTTTTCCATTAAGGACGGCAGAGGAAGGAAGGGGGGCAGAGGAAAGAAGAAAAGATAAGCTGCACCACTATACAAAGAATATGGCTAGGAAGAAATGAAACCTTATTAAAAGCTGTAATTAAAGTTGTACACTTGTGTAATCAAAATCAGTAACAAGGAGACTCCAGCTGATCAAAGATTAACAGCTCTTTCCACAAATGCTTCAGCTTCCATAGAGCTAAGTCAGATTCCCCTACATTAAGCCAGGGATGCTCACAAACTCCAAGGAGAAAGGAAGAGCACAGCTGCGTGACAACAAACTGTCACTGCTGCACAGGTTTCTTTATGCTAAAAATTACTCCATTCATTAGAATATAAACCTCACAAAGCACGCTTATTAAAAAAAAACAATACATGTCAGCAACCCAGATTCAACATCTGGCCAGAGATGACCGCAGTTTCCACCTTCTAAAGCTGAAAGTAACTATAAATCTTTGAGTGATAAATATTTGGCTTTCAGTGACACCATCAAGTAGGGTGTAAGATTACATTTCAGATTTTTTAAGTGGGAGAAAAGGGGTTTTGAGAACCCAATGTGTTTAACGACCAGAGAAGCTGCCAAGTTAATGTGTCAAATTCATTCTTCACACAATTATGTACTCTTAACTGTTTCATCACATTTATTTTAAGGATTACAAATACACACCTTTTGCCTTAGAGAAAGATAACGATCTAGGAGAAGCATTTAGTCACCGCTGTACTTCAGGAAAGCTTGCCTTAGCTCCACTACAATGAACACAATCAAGAACTTACCCCCTAACTATTCACTGTGAAAGCCAGTACTCAAGTACTGCACCACTGAGGGTTTGTCTTGAATTTAATTCTGAATGGAATTAAAATAGAAAGAACAAACAATCAAATACTGGAAAGCAAGGAAACTGTATTTCCCTATGACAGTCATATCCCTGTGGAAAACAGCTTCCCTGCAACTACTTCTGGATGTTTGGTTGTTTTGGTTTTTTTTTTCCCCACCATTAGTCGTCACTACAGTAAATCTCACTTATTCTAAACTTTAGTTTCCATTTTGAAGGAACTTTTAATTACTTTTTTCCTTGTTTTCAACCTGGTGTTACATATTCAAACAGAGTATATTCTATGCTATGCAGGAATAGTAGAAAGTGTTATTAGGAATGGGGCAGAAAAGGTCCTATTGCACTGGTCACTGTACAGTCACAGAAGTGGGATAAGACTCAGCTTCCTCCCAGATGATTTACAGTGGAAGTGGAGAACAGTCAAGGGTGGGGATAAGACTGGTGAGCACAAGAGTTCAAGTGGAACCCAAAAAGATCAGCTGAGTTTGAGTGAAACACATGAAGAGGAAAAAAAAAAAAAAAAACACAACAGACATTAATAGGGAAAAGTGTATCATATGTCAGAAAGATTAATGATCTGATGTTACAATCTTCTTAGTTTTCCCAAGTTGTGTTGCCAAGGAAGATTTACATTTCATCTCCTGAAAAAAGTATCTGTAAAAACTATGGGGAATTTCTGCATTATTTTTATGAAAAGTATGTATGACTCAGTGCTGTGCTGTGACTGCCTGCAAGGGTCAATTCTTCCCTTTGGACATGGGAGAGACAGGTCACATTGACTTGTCTCGATTTATATTCACAATACAAAATCATCATCATACACATAGATTTCAACAATGTTGGGAGAAAATCAAGGAGCAGACAAATTACTGCTAGTCAAGGGATGCAAATCACACTGAATATAGCACAACTAGAAATACAAAATGAAGTTTTCAGCACACTGCAAAAAAGAACACAAGCGAAACCCTCCAGGTTTCTGCCAAGTGAAACCCTACATGGACCAATGGGACAGGTGACACTGCTGGGACACATGCAAGTTTTGCTTTTACAGTCCAGCCACAGGACACTGAAATAACCCAGTTCTCACTGACTAATAAAGCTGTCCCAAGTTGGAAAAGAACAGCCTATGCTGTTAAAATCTGCAAAACTGCATAAAAGCAGTCAATTTTCAAGAGGAGTCTTTCTCCAGTAGGAGATAGGGACTCTATTCTGGTGGAAAAGGGTGGTACCAGAATGAAACAGCTGGCTTGGAGCAGTAGAAGTGCAGTTGGAGAGAAGCAAACACTCAAAGAACTTGAAGCACCAGCAGCACTTGGGTGCTGGCACAGGAATGTGAGGTTGGTGCAGACCTGTGCAGCTTAGCAGGTAGTCTCCAGCAGAAGAGATATATTAGGATGGAGAAGCAGCCCCTGAGATTTTCATTAGGTCACTGTCCTTTTAAATGTTAAGAAACAGAGGTTTTCTAACAAGGAGTCAAGGCCACCTTACAACAAAGTCAGTGAAGAACCTTTTTCTCTCAACCTTTGTCTCTGCCTAGACTGTAGAATTTCTGAGCAGACTCTGACTTACTGCTTCTTTTTGTACAGTACCTAGTGACATCCTTCTGCATGCCTTAAACCATAACCAACAAGTACTGGCCTGGTCTATATGCCCATTCTATAACAATATGGACCAAGAACTACACTTTGGGACAACAGTTTCTCTCGAAGTTCCTTCTGCCTACGAGGGCCCTAAAAGAAGCAAAGCAGCTCTCCATCATCCTAGTCTGCAAAGCCCAGGCTACTTGAGCACATCACACCTTTTCAAAAAGCTGCAAAACAGGCAGCATCTAGTGCATCCTTCCTCCACTGCCTATCGCACTTTAGATTAGAATCTAGAAAAGAAGAGGATTCAGTAAGGACATGTAACCATACTTTTAGCCTCCAGTCTTACATTTAAAATCATTTAATATTGTGAGTGTA